TTGGACTTGAAGCGCTTTCCCTGCATCCCGTGTTTCCAGAAGGCCAGAACACTGTCCTGAAGGCACACTGTCAACATGGCAGTGTTAGAGTCTCAGAATAAGACCATGTGGAATAGTTTAGTGTTGCATGAATTTAACATATTTACTTCCTTTCACACATCTGCGGGTAACTGTGGCTGATAACTTACCGACAGACTCAATGCAGAAGTCAAAGCTGAGCTCAGAAGCCAGCTTCTTGTTAGACTTCAATCTGCCTTGGAGATTAACAATCTTTAGATTTTCTGTAAAAGAAAAAAATTTGGAGATTAAACTAAACAGGAAACTAAACCGACTTTGGCTGTGACCAGAGCAGAGAACCTAATATGAAATGATATAAAATGATATGAAGGGATTCTACTCACGGTCCAAACACACCAGCACGGTGTCTCTCTCCAGTTGAGTAACGTGGATTGCATCTACTTGGGGATTACCTGTGAAAATAAAAAAATAAAAAAACACAAAAAACACAACAAAGTCATTTTCATAGTGTAAGTACAGTAGAGAGAAGCTTTTTAACCAGCATATTGTCTGGTGGATGGTTCAGTATTTAAGGGCTAAAGTCAAATTTTAGAAATCTAAAGGTTTCTATCGTATATTGAAATTATTTCATTATTACCAACGTATTTTAATTCAAAAAGGTCTGATCCCTAAATATGTATATTTTTTCTCCTTTAAATAAACTTAAAAAAAACAATAAAACAAAACAGTCAAGAATGTTTTGACATTTTTGAGCCACACAATCTGCAGCAATTTTACACAACTTTATTACCAACCCAAGATCAACACTCTACTCCAACAGCACTTTCAAAGGTGCCACACACCTGTGTGAACTCACAGGTTTCTGTGCATTGATTTTACACTTTTTCCAGTTGGTCATGTGACACTGATGCTGCAAATGATGCTGTGACTCACTTGTTCCCATCTCTGTGAACCAGGAGGAGCAGGAGTTCAGATTGATGGTCTCGAAGCGGACCACCTGCCCTGTTTCTGTTCCCTGGCTGATGGCCACACACACCAGAGGATACTCCTGCTCCGGAACCACCAGCATCTCAAACACCTTCAGAGGGCTGGGGAGGGGGAAGTCAAAATGCTGCAGCGGGAGGAGAGGAGAAAGGACGAAGAGCTCAGTTTTTTTTTTTTTTTGACACATTTGTTTTTACTGTGCAGGAATGTAGAGGTGCAGTGTTAAACTGACCTTAATGAGCATAAACCTTTGCATTGGCTCGTACCACTGCAGGAGGACAATCCCAGACTGTAGTGCTCCACACAGATACTTATGGCCGGTGTATGGATTTCTCACTGTAGTGAGAGACAGAGACAGAGGGACATATATACATATTGAGAGAGACAGAGGGAGGGAGAGAGAGAGAGTTAGAGAAAGTATGACCCATCTTCAAAATAATTCAAAATAAAACTATTTAATTATCATGATTTATAGCAGTGTTAAAGAAAGATTTGTTTTGTTTTGTTGTGATAAAACAAAATGGAAATAAACAACTAACCAATGCAACACTTGTGACAACCCTTGGTGTCTGGGATCTTTGTTGTTAAGGCAAACCTCCTGAGAAAAGAGGGAAAAAAAACAGTCAAGTTGTTGTGACTACAGTCTTAAAGGAGACGATGACGTCTGAGAAAAGGGAAGTCGGCCAACGTTCTCTGTTCTCTCTTTGATCGTGGTCGTTTGTCACAATGACGGACAGTGAGGGACTATAAGGCTGCACAGCAGGAGTGAAGTGACACGCTGACGGTCAGAAGAACCAGAGCCAGAACTTCATGATCTGACAGCACGGTCTCACCTGGGGAGAATTTTGTCAGGGAAGCGGTGGGTCTGGAACTGAGCTGCCAGGCCGGGCTTCTTCAGCTGCTCGAACAGTCCGATGAGGTTGTGTGAATACAATTGGAAGGATTTCCCTAGAGCCAAAAATTGTTTGTGCATTAGAAACTGTGTGGACTCAGTCTAGAGCCAGTCTAGTTTAGTTTTGTGTCTTACCTGGTGTAAAAATCACAACAACTAATGTACACTTAAAGGAATGATCTTGCCTACAGAAAAAAAATCTGAGGCTAAAAACAAAAAAAAATTGTATTTGTTCTCAACCTTTTTTGGCTTGTGACCCCATTTTAACATCACAAATTTCTGGTGACCCCAGAGACATTTAAGGAGCCTTCAATCAAGCTGCGCCAGCTCAGATATTTTTATATACTGCATTTTACCTGAATCTGATTTGAACTTTTTTAATCAATTACTAGACATTTCAGGCAACCCCAGATTGGGTTGCAACTGCCTTAGCCTGGCCTGGGTAATCTAAAAGAGTACATTTATGTACTTAGCCTGGCCTGGGTAATCTAAAAGAGGAAATACAATTTATGTATATCTGAATGCAGCCAGTTGAAAAGTTAAAAGTTGTTTTTTTTTTAATTATCTGGAAATTGAAATGGTATCAGGCTCTTTAAAGGTGAAACGACACAAACACTGAGGGTCCAAGACTTATGCACACTGTTGTTTATGTGGAACAAAAGGAGAACTGTAGTACAGTGGACCCCGAGACACGAGCTTACCAAAATACTCAAGAGTACAAGATTTTGCTCATGATACGAGCAAATACAGACAGTGCCCAACCTACGAACACAAAAGGTTCCGAGAGGCTGTTCTAAAGCTGAACTGTTCGTAGGTCGTTTAGAGCAAAGTCGATGTGTATACGTAGATGGTGAAGGAGGAAGAGGAGGGAGGAGTTATTGTTGGTGAGAGGCAGAGTTGTCATTGGAGAGATTTCTTTGGAGACATAACAAAAAAGGTTAAATTTTACGAACATTTATTGACATCAGTCAGCGGTTGTTCGTATCTACGAATGTTTGTATCTCGGGAAACTGTTGTATAGGGATAGGCATTAGTTACTCGCCACTTTTCTCTCTCTCTCTCTCTCTCTCTCTGTCGTCTAAATCGAGTCCTCACTCCCAGTCCTTCTCCTGTGATTAAATGAAATAGAATATTCCGAGGGGAGGCTGGAAAAAATTAATTGTTTTTTAGTTGTTTTTAATCAGGAAAATTCGATCAAGACAAGTGCTGTTGTCTAACGGATTAAACCCGTATCTCGGGGGTCTCCTGTAATTCTTTTTACAATCTTTTTTTTTAACAATATAAATTTTAAAGTAGTTAAAGCAGATACATTTTAAACCCTCAGTCCCACAAAGCAACTATGTGGAAAGGTTAGCTGTGAACAGGAGGTAAATAAAAAAGTGTGGTGGTGGTGATGATGACGATGAGGTGAAGCGATGATTACCTTCTGATGAAGCCAGTTAGTAGAATATCAAATCAAGTCAGGTGACAGGAGGAGGATGGACAGTGGCCAAGGGAAGAGGAGAAGAGAAGAGAACAGAGGTTTAGTATACCAAGGGGCAAACTGCTGAACGGAAAAGGCAAAACAGAAAGCAGACCTCTCACGCTGTAACCCCATCCTCAACTGTTAAACCCAGACAAGGTTTGATTTCTCACGGCAGAAAACTCAAGACAGTTGGGTTTCGAGTGATGGATGTGAGTTGTTTTGTAACCACACGCAGTGAGTTCTGCTTTCGTTTTGGGGGCAAACCAAATACACCTTTACAAACGTGGTTCTTAGCAGAAGAAGAGGCCGTAACACTTAAAAGGTGACACTCGTAACACAGGACACAAAGGCAGCAGGTTATGACAGTGGACAGTGGAGAAAAAATGGTAATAAAGAATTTATTACTTACCAGATAAAGACATAAGGTTATTGTTGATAACATACAACCAGGTACACTTTCTTGGAAAGAGCTAAGAGGGACACACAAAAAAAACATGGATTAACCACAAGGAGAAGAGAGTGAAAAAGAGGAACAAAAAGAAGAAGAAAAAAAAAGAGGAAAAAGAAGAGGAAAAGGAAAAAAGAATAAGGGGGAAAGAGGCAGAGGAGAAGAAGGAAGGGGTAGAAGAAGAAGACGAAGAAGAGGAAAGGGAAATGAATGGAGGAGGAGAAAGAAGAAGAAGATTTTGGCAGGTTCAACTGTGTGGTATTGATAATATTCTACCCAAAATAAAGTTATACTTTAGACTATTTCATTTTTTGTTTTATTTGAACTAATCTGCCATTTCAGTAGATATGAGGAAAACATACTGAATTAATGTGTTTATTTAGAAAAACTAGAGAAATATGAATGATTTAATCTCTCCCCCTCCAGTGCCTACCACCACAAATTTCCAAAACCACATCTTGGGGTTGCAACCCGCACTATGGGAATCAATGATTTAATGCACGTGACTGAGTGATTCCACTTACATGGGATTACTGCAGAAAGTTTCATTGTGCTCCCCCTTAAATCTGTGGTAAACGTGACACATGCATGTTTGTGGTGCCAGGATGGAGGCGGAGTGACTATGACTACATGTGGGCGGGGCTGAAGAAGACTGTGCTGCTGTTACCTGTTCCATCGTAGCTTCGTGAAGCTCGTTAAGATTCAGAGTGTAGATGCCGTCCTCTGTTCCAAAGATCAGATACTGATCTGTGAGGAAATTGAAACATATTATATATTTTTTTGTTTTGTCGGTCCATGCAAATTATGTGAACTTGAAGTGTAAAAAAGACATACCTTTCGTATCTGGATGAATCCAGGACGTGGCATAGTTGATCTTCAGAGGACAGCCATCAAATACTTTAGAGAAACAGGCTCCCATCTGTACAAGAGATGAAAACAGAGCAGTGAAAGCAGGCTGTGGATCAGTGGAGCGCAGAAATGTCAGCCAGGGTTTAATAAGCTGGAGTTGGAGCTGGAGCTGGAGCAGAGGCAACCACAGAACTCTGTGGAGCCAAAGTATCTGCAGAATGCAGAGCAGCATCTCAGTCAGAGGAAGATAAATTAGAGTGGTGGTGAAAGCACGTCAGCGAGGAAGAGTGAAGGCTGTGAGGGACAATGCAGACGAGTCGCTCACCAGTACTTTAGGAGTGGGTGGCAGGCCGTTGATAGCTGGTTTCTAAAGAGCAGAGGAAACATAAAAAGATAATGTTGACCTAGCGACACAGACCGAGCAATGACATGCTGTTTTAAATGTAGCTGCATAATTTAGTTTAAGCCTCAACAATGGAGGTTTTTTCAGACTGACATGAGAAGGATTCAAGGTTTTATTTTTAACATTCAGCTCTGGATTTGACAAATGGAAAAAAAAAACTTTGTGGTTTTTGTGGCAGATGAGAAAACTGGTTTGAGAAACGTCTTTGTAGTTAAATGAGGATGACAAGACCGCAACAATCCACTCATCTATAAAACGTCTTAAACTAAGTGTAAGAACAAGATTAAAGAGGAACCAGTGTCGGGGAATTAGGTGCAAAACTGTAGGTCTTTGGGACCATACAGCAGCTGGTCAACTTTTTTTTAGTCAGTGACGGGAAGTGGATTGTAAATTTTGTGTCATTTATTGGAAATACAAGCCCATTAATAATACATTATTTCATAGAATTGTATTATATAAATGTATATATTTAAAGTGCTCCTTTATTTAAATTAAACAATTAAGGAGACAAATGAACAAATCCCAATGTCCCTTTATATTTTAAGTTTTTTTATTGTTTCTTTGTTAATGTTGTTCCATTGCTTCACACTAGAAACTATCAAAATCTATCTTACTTTTTATCATTTCTTTAGTACATGTTAAAAGATAGATCATGGAAATGATTTGAGACTCTTTCAGTGTAAATATAACACATGTTATAACACATGTTACATGCAGTGTATCTGTGGCCATCTGAGTAGGTGCAGGATAGAATTATATACACATTTTAAACTTTAAACTCACCGGAAAATCCTTCTTTTCTCTACGGTGTCGGCTGAGCTGAGGCCTCAGACTTCCTTCATTTACACTGCCATCTGAATCATTGTCTGTCAGGTGAGAAAAGACAGACACGTGAATCACTACTAACCATAAAATCAAACGAACAATCCATATCTGAGAGAAGACATTTATAAAACAACACTTACCTTTAGACTCAGTTTTACTGAGAGCTTGTTAAAGTAAAATAAGAGCTCATTAGGAAACTGAGAGCTTGTTAAAGTAAAATAAGAACTTGTTAGGAGACTTTCTCAACTTGACGATGAATTCACACACGTCAGGAAGTGAAAGGGAATAAAAGAGACTTACCAGGGTCAGACGCGTGGGACAAAAGGCCGGGGCTGCTGACGCTGACGGAGAGGTAATCTGGAGATGAGTGCTCCACCTTGTGGCCCTCGGGTGTGCTCTGTCTGCGAGCCACCTGACTCGGCCCGTTCTCTGAATTGGGAAACCTTCGCACAGTCAGAGACTTCTCGTCGTTGAGGCCGAGCTCCTCAGAGGAACTGTTCAATCGCGGCTGCAAACAGAGAACCAAACAATTTAGTGTGACCACCTTTAATAAACCCCTACATGTCAAAAAATATTCTTCAGAATGATGTCTCACCTTTGGGGGCAGAGGAGGGGGGAGTCCAGGTTTCAGAGTTGACCTGAAGTGGATAAAGTTGTCAGAAATGTGAACTTTCTCCATTAAACACCATGACTTTAGGTCATTTCAAAAGAACTCACAGCTCCACATCTTCAAAAGCATCTTCCAGAGGAGCGATGTGTCCCCTGCAGGAAACACATGTTGTAAAGATTGAATTTAGACGTTAGAGTGGAGTTGGGTTTTTAAAGGTACATGCGGAGGATCCTTAAATGTAAATGTTTTGCAAAAATAACATTTTACAGCCTTGTTTATAAGATACAGGAAAATTTTAATTAATTTCTCCACTGAAACTTAAAAGAGTGTAAAAGTTTCAAATATTCACACTTTTATTTGTTGCCTGTGAAATTAGCTGTAATGCTAAAAGGCAAAATCAGTGATTCCCAACCACTGTGCTGTGGCACACTAGTGTGCTGTAAGAGACCATTAGGGGTGCCGTGGAAAATTATCCAATTTCCCGCAACTAAAAAAAATAAAGAGAATCGGCGCTGTTGATGAAGATATTTGTTAGTGCCTTTCTTCAATTCCTGTGAGTATGTCAGCGTTGTCTTCAACTAAACAGGCTGAGATTTTAGTGAATAGTGAGTATATTAAAACTAGAAGGTTATTATATTTCATTACATATACTTTTTGTCAGATTTTTGTTTGGTGGTGTGCCGTGGCACAGAAACAGTTGGGAAACACTGCTTTACATGAAATGTGAATGGACTTTCAGGACTATTTCTACAGCACACAGTTCCATCTATGTCTCCTCATTTTCTTAACTATAGAATTTTTCACAATACCGCTGAAATATTAACAGCCAAAACATTTTGGCCTGTGTTACCCTAGTTCAAAATAGATTATTCCAGGAAGCCAGAGTAATGTCAATGAAAAGGAAACACTGTGATGGACAACAGATATCACTTCAGTGCAAACATCACCACAAAGTGGTGAACGGGTGAAGGGGAGGGGCGAGGGAGCGGGGGGCGGAACAGAGCATGACGACACAGAGAGTTAGTGTTACCGTTGGAACAATTCATCCTCAACGCTTTTGAGAAGGCTCCTTTGGAAGACAAGGCAAGGGGACACAGAGAAGGAGACAGAAGCGAAGGAGGAAGAACGGTCAAAGCACATGGACAACAGAGACAGAGATTCAAGGCTGAAGGAACAAACTTAAAACTGCAGACACTCTTTGTTCGTGCACAGGTACAGGTTAATCAAAGCTGTGAGTGGGTGCTGCTCCATTTCTTCACAGGTTCCATTCCCCTCTGGGCTAACATTTAATAACCTAAGGTTACAGTGAGGGTACATTAAGCTTAACTGCTACTCATACTTTAACCATACATGCTAGTGTAAAAGCAGTATAATGAGGGTCCAAATCTGAGATCCTACAAAACTGATATTTCCATTGATCAGAAAAGAAAAAGAAGAAAATAAACTACTACCACTTAGCACTAAAACTGCAAAAATAAATGAAAGAAAAACAATGACAAACATTGGGGTCTCTTCTTATAAACTCTACACTGACACTAAAAATATATCATTTTGTATAGAACTTTTCTCTCTGAATTGTTGGTGCTAAACTTTTTTTTTAATCACATCTGATTCTAATAAGAAGAATCCACCAAAAAGAGAAAGAAAAGACAGATGAAGAGAGTGAAGAGAAAGACAGGCAGAGAGAGCAGGGAGTAAATATGAGCAGTTGTCATGACAACAGTTTTCATGGTTTACCTGGTTGTTATTCCCACTTCTGCAAAGGGACTCCAGGGCGAAGGGAAATCACTATCTTTACTCACATCCTGTGGAAAGACGTACATGCTCAGAAATAGAAATGTCTATTTTTTTCAGTTTCTTTTGTTTTGGCACATGCTGACTGATAGTGGACAGGGACTGAAGGTCAGGCTTGAATAATGGATTTGATTGGACAATTTAAAGTGTGATTATCACCATTTCAGAATGCGCCTCTGTTTCCTTCCGAAGCGGCGGTTCAAACTGAAGCTTGTCAACTGTAAGTGACAAAATAGTGGTCAGTGACACTTTGTATGCATTTTCTTTTTTTAAGACACATCTTTGGCACTAGAGGGCATCAGTATTCAAGTCTTGAGGACAGGCAAAGCTGTGAAAGTCTTACCAGGAATCTTGAAAATGTTCTTCTGAGCATAAAAGCCAGAGCAGGAAGTAACCACAAGCAGATTAATGACTACTATTGCAACATACCTGTTTAAACACATAACTCTGCCCCTTAGATTGGTTTATTATGTTTTACAAATATTTGGGCTGAGCAAGGAGATGAATGAGTCCCTTTAAAAAAACAGCTCAGGACAGACACTGACCAGGTCTACAAATCTTAAGGAAAGATTGGAAACAGAAATAACAGAGATGACTTCTCCCAGGAATTAGGCTCAGTTTCTTTCAGAAACACAGAATGACTGAGGCAGGGTTTGGTATTAACATGATCTGACTGCAACTACCTAGAAATGAGGTCAAGAGAAACCAACCAGACTACCAATGAACAGCCCCAAAATCTCCACGTGGAGATTTCCTGCTCGAGTTAGAAAGTGTGCGTAGAGTAAGACGAGGCTTTAGGGAATAAAACATATATAAAAGTGTGTGTGTGGTTGGGGGAAAATGGAGGATTGGTCAAAATCTGGTTTGTGAGATGTAAGGACCAACACAACTTCCTTGTCATTGGTTATTGGTCTTTTTCTGTGACGTGATTTTGTCAACAAGTGGGATGACAATGTATTTATTTCCCCATTTGATAAAAGACGCACGGCTGCTGCTGCTGCTTTGTTTTGTTCTGCTCCAAGCTCTGACACTACTACAGTAAATGCTGCTGTGAGTATTTGAACAGTTGGGCTCAGTGCACAAAAACAAATATCTTTTGTGAATACATTTTAGTCTTACTGCACAAATGCAAATAAAGTCATTCCATTCAATTCTATTCAAGAACGTCCACTCAAACGTACCCAGAGCTCAACCAATTAAATCCTAGCTTCATGAAGACGTTATTTGACCTGGTAGTTAACATAACGTTCACACACAAGGCTTTAAGAGTCTACAGCAACCTAATGATTTTACCTCATTAGAACCAAGGCAACTGTAAGTAGCCAAACCATGCACAGGAACTCACTGTGTTAGTGCCATTTGAGTCTTAGAGACAACGTGCTGTTTTCTACGACGTTATCCATTTCTCAGGAAGTCGTAGGAGTAAAGCTGGGGAATCATACAAACACACACTGTCTCACTACACTGTGACTAACCTTTATACCCCCTGTGTCCCTCAGAGAAGCTAGGACTTGAGCAGGGCTCTCCACGATGTGGCCCATTGTTTGCTTCATGTAGGAGGGAAAGTCAAATGTGATTGTGAAAAATAGGAGACGAAACTAAACAGGAAGTGCGTCTGGCACAAATGATCACAGCACAGTGAAACAGAACAGGTATCGCTACACCTCACTGCTACATGGCCGGCAAATGTTACTGGCACCTTTTTTACGACTTCCTATTTCGACATACTTTAACAACTTTGGGTTGACTTTTATAATACTGTATAATATTTGGCCAACTTTTGGATCTGAATTTGAACTTGCAGCTATTTTTGTACCTAACATAATATTTACAGAATGAATGACATCATGATCTCTAGGGCAGCCACATCAACCTTCAGGGGTCGTCAGACTATTTTTACTCACACTACCACTACAGGCTCTGATCTGGAAAGTAGCCAGTCAGGACTGACAGATTAGTGAGACGAGTGAGGCAGGACGGCAGAGGATATCGGTCTACTGAAACACACCCGAGCTGACTCACTGACTGACACACTGACCAATGACAGAGGAGACTTGTGAGAAAGAGCCAGAGGGGTGTTCACTTTAAGGTATTGGGGGGGTTTGGTGCACTTACAGTCGATCTCTGAGCGTGACCTCTCTGATCGAGCCTGTTTGTTGGAGGAGCGGATGGTGTGTCTGACTGCAGAGAGAGGCTGGAACACAGAGGGGGGAAATGATTTTCAGAATAAGGAGACGGGTTCTAGGAGCAGAAACAGAAGTACAAGCCTAAGATTGTTATCACATTATTTCAAACTATTGTATTGAGTCATGCGGCAGACATGAAACATGAACATGAGCTGAAGCAGATCAGAGAGAAGAGTTCTTCTGCAGGATCGCATTATTATGCAGCGCAGAGGTTGTTTGTTTGCAACAAGCTCGGCTACTTGCAGTCAACAGCCTTCTGGGCCAACACAGTGTCCCTGCTGTCAGAGTGACAAAAGCACAATGGTGGTCTCAATGGCACTGGTACCATCTACCCTTGGCTGCCTCACAGATGTCCTGGTATGTCCAGTAAGGAATATTAATGACTTAGGACAGACACCAGGACAGGAGACGGAACGTTGAGCTGCAGGCGCCTCTTTCTTCTGGTATTTCATAAGTTTGATTAAATGTTATTTCAATATTTGCTTTGGTTGTGCTGATTTGTTACTGAATTTCCTTTGATGAATGAGAATAACAGTTTGTAGGAATGTGTTTAAAACACATTTTCTTGCTACTTTACCAATATGTAAAATGGAATTTCCAGATTTTCTTCTAGGACTACATCACTGTTAAACTGGACTCATTCTGTTCATTCTCACTGCTAAATTAATATCCAAAAAGGACTCGTTATTTGTGTGTTTTTATATTTTTGTATTTTATTCAAAAATGTCAAAAAAACACCCATTTTGAAATTCTATCCATAACTTCTCCAACTTGAGGCACCATGTTAAACTGTATGTGACAGAATTGTACGTCACCTCAAGGTCATCGTCGTCCACCTCGCTGTAATGCTGATGGTTGTCTGGGTTGTTCATCCTGTCTAAAAGGTCCACGGCGAGTCTCCTGGTCAGACCTGTCTGGCCCACAAACACGTGCTGACAGACACAACAGAGGAGGGGGTTACATGGAATCACGAAGTTGTGAACATTTGATAAAAGTAAAGACTGTTGAAGAATCAGAGTTTTTTAAAAAAACAGAATGTCTTTACAGTTTACAGAGTTTTTTAAAAAAACAGAATGTCTTGTTTATAGATCGACTGAAGCCTAATAAATAATCAGAACAGAAGTGAACTTCTTTAAATTATTTAAAAAAATGAACTGAAAATCAAAATGAAAATGAAAGAAAGAAATGATGAGATAGTGTGATGAGTTAATTTGATTCCTGAACTTGGAGCAGTAATTCACGGATGGAGCATGAGTGTCTGAACAGCTAGAAATCTCAAAGACGTTCAGTGAATAGACAGAGATCCTGCTGTTGTTTGACACAAAACCATTTATTCTGTAATACTCTGAACAGTTCCGTCGTTAATTTAACTTCTTGTTGTGCAGTTTTGATGTTGTTGACAGAGAACGTTTCTCAAAGATTTAGCCTGATCAGGGAAAACACGATTCACCCTAAACTGTGTGGAACAACAATGGACAAATGTGAAGTGTTATCTGGAGACGTGACATCCTGAGAGTCACCCAAGTGTAGGTAGACAATAGCACTGGCATTTGAACTAATCTGAATAAGATATGAAATCTAAATTGTCAAAGCCTCGTCAACGTTCTGCTGCATACTGTAAAATTGTCGTATGGTAATATGAAATTATTATGTGTTTAACCTATAAGTAAATAAATAACAAAAAATATTGTAAAGTAGTTCAATGAATTATAGAAACTGGAACATTTTCCATATTGGATTTTACTTGATCAAATCTAATTTGAAGGGTTATTCGACCTTGACAGAATACTGAGCCTACTTACTGACAGAAGTTTTTCCGCAGTCGGCCTCTTCTTTGGGTTCTTTGTCAGAGACACTTTCACAAAGTTATGGAAGCCAGTGGACCTGAGGGGAACACATATGGATTTATTTAAATGCTGGCCATCACCGCCAACGTATCTAGACCTATAATATATATGTCAACATTGAAACAGTCCCGGGGCCCGTACGCTCGGATCCTTACCATCTGTTTTTGTCTTTTAGTTTGGGAGGCTGGAAGCTGCTCTTTGACATCAAAAATAAAGCCCTGGTGAAGAAAACAAACAAATATTAAAACAAAAATACGTGGAAAGTCAGAGTCCAAATCTAAAGAGCTGAGAAGTCTTCGTTCTAAATGTAACCTACATTTTTAGTGAAACAGGATGGACATTTTAGGTAATCGAGAGGCGATGAAACATCAGAAGAAAACAAAAGCAGGAAGCAGCCTTTGGATCGTTGAAGGAAGCTCTGACTGATCATTTTGAGGAAAGTAAAACAAACCTCATTGGGTGTAGGTCAAACATGGGAGGCTGCAGCTCGGCCAGCTCTATGGCTGTGATGCCAACAGCCCAGATATCGCACAGCTGGTTGTAGCCACCGTTCTTCTCCACTGCTGCAACCTCTGGAGCCATCCTGAGTGAATGAAAAAAGATTAAAAGCTTCTGGAGGAAGGGGTTTTTTGAATTAAAAACAAAACCTTTGTGCATTTGGAGGTCAGGGGTCAGTGACAGTGAGGTTTCAGTCTCGCTCAAAAACATTCAGCTGCTGTTGGAATGTGAACTTAGACCTTTGGGGTTTTGAACTTTAACTGTTTAAGTGTCTCCCTTAAAACTGAATTCTGTTGTTGATACAGACAAATAAGAAATTAAATGTTTGAGGATTGATTCCAGGGCACAAGATTATATAGATATAAATTATAATTCTAAAGGCTCTGCTGAACGACTCTTTGGCACAGCTTATTAATGGATGACTGGCTCGGTGACATACTCACCAGTAAGGCGTTCCAATGAAGGACTTTCTCTTGGCGATGGTGGCTGTTATCTTGGCTGCCACTCCAAAGTCGGCTGTAACCGTGATTGACATGATTTGAATGTAACGCAAACCAAACACAACAATTAGTTTAGTTTTTAGACCATTAAAAATGCAACACAACTTACCCAACTTCACGTCGCCGTTGTCTGTCAATAGTATGTTTGCACCCTGGTGGAAAAAAGACCAGTGACCGGTTTATGATTTGTAGAAATACAACTGAAAGGATTGTCTAAGATTTCAGTCAAATTCCTGGTGGTTCATAACAAAGGTGCAAATGATGTGTTTAGTTTTCTCTGGAACATCTGGTTTTAACTGTAACTAACTGTTATTTTGGCTTGCTTTGAAACACTCTAAACACAAGCTAACTTGAAGACAACTAAGGCTGTTTCTAAGATCACTCCCTCTATAGGGAATTATACATACTATACACTATATATTGGACTCACGCTTACTTTAAACACTATTTTTGGGAAATCAAAAGAGTTCACCATATGATTTTAAATTTGGAGAAATAAACCAGAGAAAAGACCATATGAGATTTCAGGCCACTAAGACTTGGACTTAAAATCTCTGGTGGTTCATAAACAAAAAGTACCAAAATCATGGTAAGCTTTCCCAGGAACATCTGGACTGGTCCAGACCTAAACTGTCTGGATCTCATTCTGCACCGTAACCCTACACCGTTACCACAGATTTATGAGGGTCCCGCTGACAATATTAATCTTGGCCGAAACTGACAGTGGCATCCTGCAGCGAGAGTAGAGGAAACAGGAAGAGCTTGCTTCGTTGAGCCCAGTAAAGATAATAGATTCAGCCCTGACCTTCAGTGATAACACACCAAAGGCCGAGGCTCCTGTCGGAGTGTGTGCCCCGAGTTTTAAGGGCTTCAGCTCCGCCTCACTCACTGGTAAGTAACACCATTGGTCACATGATCCTGAGTGCACACAGGCCTCACAGCTCTAATTCATACCTCTGCAATGCTTCTGTGGGACACTGATGTCATTCTTTTATACTGTTCAAAGGTGTCGTTTAAATGACAATTGTTCTAACTTTTCTAGCAGCAGATACATTTTAGCAATTGGTCTGGTTAATCTCTGGCAGAAAAAACAAATAAAAAAAGAAAAAATCAGAAGGAAAAAATACGATACCTTGATATCACGATGCATCTTCCCTTTGCTGTGCAAATATCCCAAACCCTGTAAATGAATTCAGCACAAATTTAATCAAATGTGTAAACTGGAATTAGAAAGTAGGTAAGATTAAAGAAAAAAATTCTTAAAAGATAGAGCAGTCACATAAGGTTTTTTTCCACCCAAAATAAACAAGATAAACATTCATTTTGCACACAGAGCCAAGTAATGCAAGTAATATTCAATATGAACTGGATCCTTTCCATTGTGCTTATCTCCTGCAGCAGCCTTTACATTGTATCTTTATCTTCCTAAAGCAGTTGGTTCACTGCAGGGACACTATGTCCATCCTGCTCTGTCCATTTGTCTTCCACTGCATTACTCTCATGCTGGGTTATATTGATCTTGTTAATTGACAAATCATCACCAAACACAGCATCGTGAAGCAGCGCCACCTTGACTAGAATACTGATCAGACCAGTTTCTCCTTAACACACACAGACAGACAGACACAGGGTTGGACTGTTTTTGAACTAACAGCAACATATGAGAGTGAAACAGAGGTGACATCCTGTACAGACACCTGGTTTGTGATGATATTTGACAATGACAGCATTAAACATACAAAGCAGTATCTCAGAAAGGAAAGGTTTTTTTTTACCCTTGAACTAAAGCTAACCCCTTTAACTTGACAATAATAATTACCTGTAATGTTTCCCTGCAGACGTAGGCTATCTGTAGTTCTGACAGCGGTCCCGTTACTGCAACAGGCCAAAACACAAAAGTTTCACCAGTGGACAATAATGAACTATTTCAGAAGTTTTCCTAAATGCACTCCTTACCATGGTAAATATCTTGCAGCGATCCACCACCACAGTACTCCATACATATCCAAAGCTTCTCGCGACTAAAAAGAAAAACAGTAATACAGTGTACAGAGGCGATCAATTTGAGTCTGATGAATGTTTCTTGTTAAACATTTACCCTGGACATAGTTTCACTGTTAAATATTTACTTCATTTTCCAATAGAGTGGAGTAGCAATACTGTGTCAACCCAGAGATGTGAAGCTAAAAATACGATTAGAGCAACTGTGATGAAAGTACATGAGTCAAAGTGTGGCAGTCGGCCAGTATGAGACGTGATGATACTGTAAACTGTCACAGAGTCTCGCTCACAACTGTTTGCTACTTTTTAAACCTCTTTGGCTTGATGTGGAAATTATTTCAGGTCAGGAAATGAGGCGGAGAATGAACTCAAAGCTGTAGGCCTGGGGTGATAACACATTGTGTGGGACAATAAATTGTCCCACAAATATTTGCAGCTAAATGATAATATTGTCAACATTATTTTGAGACTTAACCACTAATGTAGTGATGATATAGAATATGGCATATGCAGGTACGCTCTTTCAAATGCACTAAATTGTATTTCTCACAAGTAATTTTTTTTTACAGTTATCAAATTTAGTAATGTAGTACCTAAATGCTCCTAATTATATCTTATATGCACGCGCATGGAAATGTATCAAGGCCGGCAAAATGATCAACTTCATTTTAATTTCTCATGCGATTAAGATTTATTGATTATCATCCCAGGTCAACAGAGCTGCCCTGAATAAAAACTCTAGCTCAGTCTAATGTAATAAAAGTCATCCATATAATTATGGCATGCTGCTCGTTGTTAACGTGAGGTGGGCAGATTATTTGAGACACGCCTGCTGTGATAAGACACACATCCTCAGACCTGTTGGAGAGATCTGAGGCTCACGTTCCCAGTTAAATCTGCTGGAAGTCTGAAGCAGTGGTGGGTCCATCCAGCCCCACTTCCTCTCCTACACTAGCCACCAACCCACATGGACCGATTAAAAAAAAAAAACACGTCCTGGCTCAGTGGGGCACAGTGAATACTGGTTGAGTCATACTTTCACACACAGGTGTGAGTAGGTCATTAAATACCACGTGTGAGTTTTAGGCAGTAGCTTGTAAAGAACTTTCTCACAATAACGTATGATGATAGGAAACATTCCAGTATGAACGGACAGCGAGGCAGAATTCTGAGTTGGCTCCTACCAGAGGTAGCTCCCAAAGTAGGCCACAATGTTGTGGTGCATGCATTCCTTCACCATGAAGATTTCCTGCTGGATGATGGAAAAGTCATCTCCTGGAAACAGAGGCAGCGAGAAATCACACAGAGTCACGAACAAATTATTTATATTGTTTTTTTTTCTTCTTTTTCTGCCGAGGGAATTGTTACATTTCAGGCAAAATGTTTTTCCATCCTGGAGGAGAGACCTCACATAAATATAACAGGATTTAAATTAGTTTATAGTTTAACAAAATGTATAGTTTTTATGTGCGGCATAAATTGTGATTTTTTTTTAAACAAGTCATAAAATGAGATAAAATCCACAATTATTGATAACAAAGTTAGAATTCTTTCAAAGTTAGAAAGCTTGATCAATTATTGATAACAAAGTTAGAATTCTGTCAAAAGCTTGACATTATATTTAGATAGAACTAATAAAGTGCAAACAGGTCAAAATGACCTGAATTTGTTTTTAAATAAAAAAAGACAAAAACACAAAATAAAACATAATAAGTCAATCACCAAAACATTTCAATTAAAAAGTTAGTAAAACGTAAAAAGTAGATAATTATCATGTACAGAGATAGACTGACAGACAGAAACACAGACCTCAGAAAGAAAATGGCGTACATTTGATTTGTATGTGGTTCAGGCTGGTGATAACCAGTTCCGTTAAGTTTCTTTAGGTCAGAACGGTAGGAAGTGAGACGATACAAATATGTTAGAGCAGCTGCTACCAATTCAACTGTGAGCAAACAACACGGTGCTGCTGGAAACATTTAAGAGAAGGCTTCAAACCAGCAATCTTCAGCCAGCTCCACTGCTCTGTCAACAGACTGTCATCACAGGCAACTGTCCAGATAAAGGTCATTGAATGGTCACCATGAAGATCGCCAGGAGTAAAATGAAACAGTAGCGAATTTTATGTGTTTTTTTTCTTCTGCTCCCCATTAAAGTGCTTGCAAAAAAATCAGCTTGTTCACAAAAAAATAACTAGTAACCACAAACAGCCATTACCAAAGGAAATATCCTCACTGAAGCCAACAATTTATTTTTATTTTGTCCTGAAATGTGTTTTATATACACAACAAAGACAGATTTGAGAAGATGAAGATGAGAGCCGGTGTTGACACTGGATACTGTGACTGATCTTTGTATGGATACATTTACACACATCTTTACACAAATGTATAGCTCACACACCACAACCCAAGAGTGTGAAACAAATACAAAATAAGAATAGCCAGCACTCATTTTGGGGGTGGGGGCTTTAACTTCAGGCCCCAATTTATCAGCCTCCCTGACCACAGGGCAGTAAGTCAGTCTACAGCCTGACAGTTTTCAAATGAATTAGGAGGAAATGTAGGCTGACTAATATCACTGAGGACAACGATTTTAACAAAGTTCTGCAAAGAAAAGACCAAAATCAACCAAGTCCATTAAACCTCACAAATGTGCGAAACACACTGACCTCCATGCTGTTATTTCTTTGTATACGTCTGAACAAATGTAAAAAGCACTTTATTTGTACACTATGCCAGTTTGACATGTTATGAAACACTATGTGCTGTGAGTGTTTAAAGAAATTTAATCTAACACTATGTGCTGTGAGCGTTTAAAGAACTTTAATCTAGTTATAATTACTTATTAACACTGTCTTCTTTTGGCACGTAATTTCTCATCCAGTTGAGCTGCAGTGGATCTGTTGTTCACAGAGAGCCACGGGGCTTTGAGCAACGATAATTTCAGTGACATACTTGGTCAAAAGGCTTCTTGGTGGAATGAGCGTGATGCCACTTCCTCTGAGACGGAGTGAGCACTTCCTCAGAGTACACGGTGATGCAAGTTTCACTTTGGTGTGCGGGAGTCAGTAGATGTTAGGTGACCTTAGACGGACATTTCTTTACTTCTCTTTTTGTTAGTGTAATAATGCTACCCTGATGTAACAACAGGCCATAGGTCAGAAATGGACAATGATGTCTGCAGGCTGCAGTTAGAATGACAATGGAGGAAAACTGTGTATGAAAACACTTCTTCGTTATTATTATTATTAAAGATTTTCCTGATTATTTTTAATCATTGATCATATATCTTATGTTAAAAAAAAATTGCCTTCCAGCAACAGGTTTAGTAAACGTTACACAGCAGATCTACACAGCCTCACACTTCAGTGTCATCAGTTTTCCTGTGGGCACCAGACACAAAGTGCTTGCTTGTTATTTTCACACTTCACTGTTCAGAAACCAATGAAACCATGTTTCCTACCCACAAATGGAGCTTCAATTCCTAAAACTAAATCATATTAGGGAAACTGATGCCACTACTCTGAGAAATATGGCATTCAGAGGTACTAAGAAAGCTGATGTAGTTAAAAACAAAACAAAAAAATTAGTCAATTGTTTGACACAGTTGACATCACACTGGTCTATTTGTCTGTCCCTGGAGAGCTGTTCAGCTTAGCAGCTAACAAATAATTATGCTGTCTCTGTAAACTGATGGTCAAAGTGACCCATGGTTCACTTGATCTTACAGAGCCCTGACTGGATCACACAAAAAGCCAGAGGGCAT